ACCTGCCACATCTTCTATTGTCCTGGTATTCTGGACACTGGCAGCAGAGGAAGCCTTAAAAATAGCCTACATCTGAATTATCCAAGAATACCCAGAAAAGACCTCTGCTTGGCTAAGACCTCTGGGGCTGCTTTAAAAAGCTGTAATAGCAGTTGAATGGTTCAAATCAGCTCCTTTTTAAAAAAGCAGCTGTCAATCAGAAATCTTACAAGGGGTGATAGGAAAGTACAGTGAATGTTTAAGCTAAAAAAAAACCTTATTACAATAAAAAGTGAATTGCCAAGAATGATGGCTTAAGTGTGATTTAAGTGAGGTATTTTGATGAATGGTAATGTGCCTTTTTACTACAATATTTTATATTTAAATATTCACCATATTTTATGAACCCCCTTGATCAAATGCTTATGGCAATTTCTGTCAAGGAAAAACATAACTGTACGTCCTCACCCACCTTATTCGCTGGATCTGTGACCAAGCAACTTTTGACTCTTCCCCAAAGTCAAGATGACCCTGAGAAGTTAAGGTTTTGAGTTGATTCAGGCATCCAGGCAGCTGCGGCTATTCGAGACCTGCGCAAAGTGAGGCGGATGATTCCATAAGCGTGTGTGAAGGGAGGGGCGGATCTCGGGGTGGCAACGTGACTTTCACCATAATACATTTTTAAAAATTTAGACATGTACCATATTTTTTAATCACACCATATATATAAATATAGTCTGCCCCAAAAATGTATACACAAGGAAAAAACTTGTATAAATATTTTAATATTGAATTTATTGAGCTATTATGAGATTAATACAAACTACCTTTGGCCTCTGCAGTTTCAAGTGGTGCTCAAAGTGGTGGTCACGTATTCAGACATTTATTAGTATAGTGAACTGCTGAAGTATGTATATATTTTTTGGCAGACTCTGTGTATAACTATATATCTATCTATCAATACAAATAAAACATATACATGACTATATATACACATACACAAGTATATATAAATGTATGCCTAAACATATATTTATATATGAGTATGTGTATATATAAGAATATGTAAGTTTATAATAAAATATATAAATATTTTATTATTATTTATTAATATAAATATAAATATCCAGATGGCAGCTTTCATTGACTAGGGCACTTTTTGTGTGTGTGTCTTTTTTTAATGTGTGTGTGTGTGTCTTTTTGACACAGGGTCTCACTATGCAGTTCAGGCTGGCTTTGAGCTCACTTTGTAGCCCAGGCTGGTCTTGAACTCATAATGATCTTTCTGCCTCAGCCTCCTGAGTGCTGGGATTCCAGGCATGAGCCACCAAGCCCCGTTTGCTACCAGGCCTGGCTGGCTACAGGGTATTTTAACATGCCTCATTGACTCTGGCCTTAGCTGTGGAGTACCCTTCCTACTCATCTCTGCCCAGGGACCCTTCCTCTCTCTCATCGCCACTTCGCACGCCCCAGCCAGGCCTCCTTCCTTCCTTCCCTCCATTCCTCATCTCCCCTTCCACTCTCTTGAGGGAAATCAGAAAGTGAGACTTAAGAAAGCAAAATAAAAACTTTAACTGCTCCCATTTTTGTTTTCACAGGAAAAAAAAAACGTGTGGCAGAGGAATTCTGAGTGTGACTGGGTGGACAAAAGCTGCCTCTGATCCCATGAAACAGTCTTCAGGAAAGTCACTGATGTGGCCTCCAGAAACCTGGGTTCTTCCCTTTACTCTTGTGGCCCTGCTATGTGACCTGGGGCATGTCTCTTTATCCTGGGGCTTAGGTTCCTCATTTGTCAAATAAGGAACACAAATCCCCTCAGCAGGGGATTGTAACCCAAATAATGAATATTGTAATCCAAGTATTGTAATCCTTTTCTAGTCCTCTTCACAATCCAGAAAGTTATATTTGTAATCCCACTGGCACATTATTGGAATTCTAGCAAGTTAATTCCAGTCTACCACCTCCAATGCAACCCAAGGCGAGAGTGAAGACATCAAGATATATTCAAAATCAGTGGCAGCCAAGCAGTCCTAGACCTGATCCAGCTAAGGATATGCTGACAAAGGCCTTGATCCAAGACCTCTCCCAGAATTTAGTATCTTGTGAAGAAGCCGGTGGCTCAAGGATGAGAGACAGTGAGGATGGTGAGTAATTTCAGCTGGCTAGCCAGGTGGGAGAAAAGCATCTTCTCAATATGCAAGGAGAGACCAACATGCTTTGAAATGTAGTTTTTTTTCTCTCTCTCTCTCTCTTTCTCTGTCTTTCTACGTTTGAATAAAATGGATTGGAAAAAAAAAGGAATGCAGACAGAAGAAATAAGCAAGGAGATAAGCAGAAAGATCATTCTGCATAACTTAATTGGGATAGCATTTGAATGGATTTAGGAGGCTGTTGCGTCAGCTTCTGATATGTAAACTTTTGTACCCTGGGGACTCATAGCCTCTTACTTTGAGGCTTGTACCCACTTGATATTCCTGGAGTTGAGTGGCTCTGCCATCCTACTGTGCTCGGATCTCTTACAGACAGCACTATGTGAGGAAACAAGAGACTGTCAGACTGGCTTTAAAGATTATATATCAGTACTTTAGCTGACCTTATCTGCATTGCTTAGAGCCTATTGAAGAAAGAAGGAAACACCATAGCCAGCTCTTTATGTATCAGTATATGGAAACAAGTCTCGATTTAACTAATGATAATGTTGCAGCAATTGTTCTGCAGGCAAGGTGAGTGTTCAAATTGTCTCCTACACGGGCCCATGCAACAGTGGACAAAAGAGAAAGGATACCAGGTGCAGTAGTGTACACCTATAACCCTGGCTACTGGTGAGTCTGAGGCAGGAGGAGCACAAGTTTCAGGATAGCCTAGGTGGGTGACTTAGCAAGACTCTGGCTCTAGAGAAAACTGCTGCTGAGCTCAGTGGAGCAGCGCTTAGCTAGTGCGCGAGGCCACTGTTTGAGCCCAGCACCGAGGGAATGAAGAGCCACAGCTAACGTGATGTGTTTCATTGAGACCAGTCAGCTTTCCCTCTTCCCAAAGAGATCATCTCAAGCGATTTAATTTCCAGTCCTCTGAGGATGGAGAGAAGAGACACACGCAGGGTGAAATGGAGCAGGTGTACCTTCTCTGATTTAAAGTGGAATACAGTCATATAACAAGAGCAAAGATCTCAGCCTGGACTTCTATCATTTTTTCTCAAGGGTGGAAACAATTTTTTCTCTACAGAAACATGCAGTGAAATCCTTCCTGGCCTGCATGGTCTCTGATCTCAGTTGTGCTAAGTTTTACTTCATCTAGGTAATGTTTTGGGAGAGGGTACAGGATTAAACCCAGTGCCTTCATATTGATCTACATATTCAGCTCTTTTTAAAGTTTTTTCTTTTTTTGAGGTAAAGTCTCTCTAATTGCTAGACTGCCTGCCTAGGTGTCTTCAAATTTACAATCTTCCTGCCTCAGCTTCCTCAGAGTGCTGGGGATTGTTGGGATGCACCGTCATGCCTGGCTCCAAGTAGCATTTCTTGGGCATCCATTTTGTACCAAGAGCTAGGGAAACAAAGGTCTCTTGTCTCTTAGATTGTCTCTTTTTCCCATGCCTTCCTCTCTATAATCTATCTCCATGTACTGTTATTTTAAATAAGTAGAGCAAATCAATTTTCTGCTTAAAGCTCTTTCTGTATTTAGGATAACTTCTGAACCCGTAGCTTTTGCTACAGTGTCCTACCACATCCTACCTTTACTGTTATTGAAAATACCAATGTGATTCCTAAATCAGGGCCTTTCTGGGTATGGAGGTGGGAAGGACTCCAGGCAATTGAGCTGAGTTCCTTGCAATTTTCAGGTCAAAGCACATTACCTTCACTTGTCTTCTATTGTCTATATTTATTTTCTTTTATCTTTAATTCTTTTATTTACAGTTTGCTAATTCCCAATTTTATCTCAACTCCTCTCCCTCCATACATAACCATTTTTGTTTCAAGTGTATTTGTTGTATGTGTTCTAGCTGAACTTGGGTATAATATGCCCCATGGTCATGCAGTTTTGAATATGCACGATATACCTCATGATTTAGGTTTCCTTTTTATTTTTGGACTGGAGGATAGAACTCATGACCTTGTGCTTGTCAGGCATGCACTTACACTGCTGAGCTAAATCCCCAGCCCCTGATTTAGGTTTCTGAGACAAGCTATATTTTTAAGGGTGTGCTTGTGTACATCGTGTACACATTTTAACTGTCTTCTTTTCCAGCGAGGGAGATCAGATTGTCTCTTATTGGTCACCTCTGGAAAACAATGCTGCAGTGACCACTCTGGCAGTTTCACCATTGAGATCACAGGTGAGCACAGGACATGTAATTCGTACTTTGCTGATGAGTGGCTAAAAGTTTTCCAGATTTGCCTCACTGGCTCAGAGCCTTTGCATTTACTCTTCAAGCCGTCTGGAATAACTATCTACTGAGTCCTTCAAGGACTTTCTGTTGCTCCTTAGTCTCCTCAGTGAAGTCTCAGCTCAAATATCATTGCCTCACAGGAGCTGTCCCAATCTTGCAGTCATCTCTACAACTCTTTCTCACCGTTTAGTCTTTCTCACTTTCATCTACATTTGTTACACTGCAGCATTCAAGAGAACTTGCAATGATATATAATCATTTATGTATTATCTATCTTTTCTCCACTAAAGCAAGAGACGCTGTCCTGTTAGCAGAGCTCTAGCTTGACCCCTATTTTTTGATCCCTGTTTTTGAATAAATGAGTGAAATAAATGAAATGAATACCATTGTGAAGTGGACCCATTTAACTTTCTGCAGCAAGAAAAACGGGGAACATAACGGGAAGGCAGGTGGGAAAAGTGCTTTAGAAAAGAGCTACACGGCAGGACGATGCCCCAGCCACCCCTGAACGAGGCTCAGTTCCACAAATGCATTGCATTTCCGCAAAACTGCCCTCGCCTACTGGCGGGAGAGAACCTCATCCCGCCCTGCAGGAGGAGCTCGAAACCCACCCTCAAGGAGAATTGAAACTACATTTCCCAGCATTCCGCGTGCAGCCGACCACTTCCGGAAACCACGGCCAACATGGCGGCGCCCGAGCAGCACGATTCTGGTGAAGAGCTCCGGCCTGCGGCAGAGGAAGAAGAAACGAAAACTTTTAAAGACTTGGTGAGAATGTGTGATGGCGGTATCTTTTTTGAACTGCTGGCGGTAGGCTCAGGGAGAATTCAGCTACCTTCGATCAGAATTTGGTTGCAGGCTTCTTAGAGCCCCCGTTTGCCTTTTTTCTCCACTTGAGTGTGGCGACGTTTGGTGTGGTCCAGAAATTTACAAGAATCGATCCTATTATAGCTGGAGCTTTGGAGTCAGATGAACCAAGCAGGTCTAACTTGTGACCGAGGCAAGTTTTTACCGCTCTGTGCCTCAGTTTCCACACGTGTGCGTTGGGGCCATAGTAACTTCCTATCTTGCTGAAATGTGATGATTAAATGAGATAACGTCTGTGGAACACTTGGCTTTGTTTCTGATGGATAGAAAGAATGAAGTCTTGAGCAGCTGCCTCACGGCCCTTACAGAGGCCGGCTTTGAAGTGTGCATTGCACACCTTTTAAATCAAATGTAAGGGGCCGCGTGTCACTTGTCCAGTGGCGCAAATAAAGTCATTTGGAAAGGAGGGAGACTTGAGAGGCTGAGACAGAAGGATCACAGTGGGTCCAACGTGAGCCTGGGAAGGAGGGAGACTTGAGAGGCTGAGACGGAAGGATCACAGTGGGTCCAACGTGAGCCTGGGCTACATACTGAGTTTAAAGCCAGCTGAACTACACCCAGTCTCAAAAACTTAAGAAAAACCCCGAAAAGGAAAAAACAGGAGGGAGGGGGGAATGTGCTATTCTTTGCTGAGGTATATTTTTCTTAATTCTAAGGGCGTGACAGATGTATTGTGTGAAGCTTGTGACCAGTTGGGATGGGCAAAGCCCACCAAGATCCAGATTGAAGCTATTCCTATGGCCTTACAAGGTAAGTTGAAGTCAAATACATGACCTGATATCAATTCAGTATGAGGTTACATTCAGTTCTATAATTAGCACTTTTGCATGCAGAGTCAGAGTGAAACAAAGATACTGTCTCTAAAGGTGTAGAGTTTGGGCCTGTTGGCTTTTGAAAAAATCACTCACTGACTTAATAGATGAAGGGATTTGTTCACTGCCATACAGGCCAACTTTAAGGAAACATTGTAATAAATGTACTAAGAACCTTGTTAGAAATTATGAACCAATATATGCACACTTATACTTAAGGATAGCTGGAACAGATACAGTTATATGTCCCTTAATGAAGGGGGTATGGTCCTAGAAATATGTCCATTAAGCAGTTTTGTCCTTGTGTGAATATTTGTAGAATGTACTTAAACTGACTTAGCAAACTCAGGGTATGTGGAGTAGAGATCTGTCATTTGTTATGTGGGACATGACTGTTTTGTCTAGAGGAGTTGAGAGCTGTTTCTGTGAGACATGTTTATTATATTTTTAGAAGAATAGGAAAAGTGCTGCTGATGGCTATTGGAATTGACACTAATGGGAAGAAATTTAAAGCAGAGAAGTGACATCCTGATCTTAGATTTGTTGTTGTTGTGTTTTTGTTTTTTGAGACAGGATCTTGTTATATACTTCAAGCTGATCTTGAACTCACTATGTAGCCCAGGCAGGCCTCAGCCTCCCAAGAACTGGGGTTATAGGTGTGTACCACCACATCCAGCTTTAGATTCTTTAAGTATTAATATTACAGGATTAGGGTGAGTGGGAAAAGGGAACCAGGAGTATGGTAAACTGAAAATCATTAAAATCTTCGCAGAAAATGAATGTAGTTTAAGGGACATGACTGTAAAAGAGGGTACATTTTAGGGATCCTTTATCCCTTTGAGACTCAAATAAAAGTAAAAGATTTCTTATTCATAGAAATACACAAATATGCTTACGCGTAAGATTTTGCATGTGATTTCTTTTTTTTTTTTTTTTAATTTTAAAAAAGATTAAGATGAAAGAGGACATAACAACACAGGTCACCTTTTCTTTTCTTCTCCCAAATTCTTCTTCCAGAAGTCCCAGATTAAGAATTTCTGATTAGCTTATGACAGAAGTGCTAAGCACTGGCCAAAACAGTGACAACACTATATTTCTTAGGTGTGGGAATGACAGTTTTAGGGACAATCTGAGGGGTAATCCGTGTTGTATTATGTTATGGTTTATATCTGATATCTCCCCAAAGCCTTATGGGCTCAAAAGTGGGCCTTTTAGGATGTGCCTCAGTTGTGGGGGTTTATAGCTGACTTGAGTTTAGGAGGTTGGGGTCAGAATAAGTAAGTCCCTGGGGATGTGGCCTGGAAGGGTATACTGTATCTCCTTCCCTGCTCTTCCCTTTCCTCTGCTTCCTGTCTACCATACTGTGAATAGCTGTCCTCTGCCATGTCCCTCTGCCAAACTGTTTTGCCTTGGAGCCAGCCAACTATGAACTGAATCCTCTACAAACTGTGAGCCAAAATAAACCTTTTTCCTTTAAGGTATGGGTGTTGGTTATTGTGTCCTAGTGACAAAGTAAGACATATAATACCAAGAAAAAGCTAGGCACAGTGGAGCACACCTGTTGTTCCAACTACTACAATAATGGGGAAGTTGAGTCAGGAGGATTGCAAGTTTGAGGCCAACCAGGGACTTAGTGAGACTCTGTCTCAAAATAAAAATTAAAAAGACTTGCGGATGTGGCTCAGTGGTAGTGTACAGTGAGTTCAATCCTAAATACCATAAAAAAATCACAAATAATTACATGGAGTGCATTTGGTCTACAGATGAGTATAGACTTATTCTGCATAATTCCTTTTGCTCCTTCCATGAATAGTAAGTTCTGAGAATTTAATGTCAGTTAAAGCACTGAATGTTGAATTTGCCTTCTCCAGGAATTTGTAGTCTAGTAAAGAGATAGTTATAAATCAAATTTATGACAAGGTAGACAGGGACATGTGAATGCTGTTACATTCAGAATTCACTGAGGGGGTAGTCCATTGTAATTGGAATGGATTTAGAGAAGATTAATTTCATTTTATGTTTTGGTTGGGGAGATTGAGAAGACCTTTGAAGTGAACCTTGAAGACTGAGTTTAGATATATTAGATATTCAGATATGATGAGTGGACTTTCTAGTCACAGGGAATAGCAAGATAAAGCCAAGGAGTCTGGAAAAAGGGACACTGTGACATTTGTAAACACTTGACATAGTGATGGAAAAGTTTAGTAGTACGACAGAGCCAGAAGAACCCTATTGCCACGTAAAGAACTTTGATCTTTGTTCCATAATAAGTGGAGCTCCTTTAGAACTTGGTTTTTTAAGGAGGAGAATGAAATCATTGAGAGTTGTACTCCTGGAATATTAATCTCATAGCCCTGTAAAATTACTTAGAAACAACTTGGAGGCTGGGAAGCCAATTAAGATGTCATTGCAATAATTTTGGCAATAAATAATAGATATTGTAGTGGGAGTGAAAATGAAAAAGAGGAAGACAATGGAAAAAGAAGCATCACTGATCCTATATCTGGTTCAGGTAAGTAGGCAAAGGGGAGGAAGCCTAAGGTTATTATTGCAAAATGTCTTGGCAGTGAGTGGGTTTAAAACACATATGTCTGATATTAAAAAGGGAACACAGGAGGAAAAATAATTTCAGTGACAGTGATTTCATTTAGAGGGAATTAATTTCAGGTGTGGTGGCATAGAGTTGACTAATACATGGTTCTTTGTTTTATATTTTACTTTATTTTAATTTAATTTTGAGACAGGGTCTTGCTGTATTTCAGGCTGGCCTTGGATTCAGTCTTCCTGCTTCAGCTTTATGAGGGCGTGGGATTATAAGTGTGTACCACCATGCCTGGGTTTAAATAATCTTAATAGGTTTTTGTTGTTACATTTAATTACCATTTAGTAATTTTATTTTGGGATTACTTTTATTTTGGGATTACTTGTGGTCTCAGTGTTCAGAGTTACTGAGCCCGGATTGTCCATTTTTCTGAAACCTTGCAATACTGAAAGTGGGTATGATTGTTTCATTGGTGAGGCCCAGAGGGCTAAGTTGGTTGGGTAGAGTCCCACTGCCAGAGTTAGAGTTTGCGTATAGAATCTTGTTGCTCAAAACCGTGTGCTCTTGGCCCTGTGTCACAAAGTGTTGCTATGAAAGATGTCTTTTGATGGTTTTGAGAGTGATTTCCTTCCCGTGCTTCGTGTATTGTTTATTTTCCATTTTAGAGAGCACTTAGAGTTGTCCTCTAGGGGTTTCAGTTTATTAATGGCTCCATATACGAGTGCCTGTTCAGTGTCAGCTGTGTGGTATGGTATGGCAGTATTTATTCTGTTCTCAAGGAGTTTATGGATCCTAGTGTTTCCTACATAGATAATATCACCGAAAGGCATAGTAGTTTTGAGAGGAAGAAGGGCTTGATACAGAAACACTGATCAATTTTAGAAACCAAGGGTTGCTCTGGGCAAATTGTAAAAATGGAAAGCAGTGCAGACCTCAGCTGTTGGCAGTGGCATTGCTCAGTGACCCAATATTCAAGCAAGTTAAGTCCTTTTGCACCCTAAGTCTTTCTTATTATTCTTGAAATGTTATGATTTCCTTTGACAAAAAAGGAAGACTAGGTTGTAGTGCCCACAGTGTCCCTCAGGGTATCTTGTGGTACACACACAGGGAAAGCAGAAGCCTTAAGAAGTTGGGGAGTAAAAAACTTGGGAAATCATTAGCTTACACTGATCTGTCTTTCCTTCTCTGTCTCTCTATTTTAAGGAGAATAAAGCCAAACAAAATAAAATAGAATAAAAGCCAATCAAAACAAAACAATGAAAGGGATACAAGACTTCCAAACAAATTAATAGAAATCAACAATGGCTACCATAATATATCTTGTTATCTTCAAAATCCATGCATACCATCAGACATAGGCGTATAAAATTAACCAAACAATACACTAAGCTACTTCTTTACTTCAGTTGTTATCTTTTCAGAAATTTCAGGTGTGTGACTTTTACTTTTTACTGTGTCTGTGTCTCCTAAACTTGTTCTGTGTGGGCTGGAGGTCTGAGATTGTATTTTGCTCCATCTTCTTGACATTTTCCTGTGTTCCTCTGAATCAGCCTGTTGTTGCATCCTGGGTGCTTCCTGCATTGGCAGCCAGTCCTTTGGCGTAGTGGATTTGAACAAGGCACCTGGTTCCTCCAATCCAGGGTTCCTGGAGTGGTGGAGAGGCACAGGGCGGAGGTTCACTGATGCTCCCCGATGAGATGGTGGTGGGTCCTTGGGCGTGGCTCCTTCTGACCAGGCACTGGGCTTGCTGGATCTCTGTAGGCCACTGCGTGTGGCCTTGGGATGACTGATCTTTATTTCTGAAATAATTCACTTTCACCCTACGACCAAGGAGGACGTTAAAATGAGTAGGTGAATCAGAAGTATTATCCCTGGACTGTCATTTGTTTCTGTGATCTTTGTAGAATTACTCCGTTGCCTGGTCTCAGTTGTATTTGGCATCTGTGCATGGAGAAGGCATGATTGAAAGATCAATGAATGTTTAAATTAAAAAAAAAAAACTCAAAAAACAAAGTCGTTACACTAAGAGACACTGCCAAGGCCACACTGCCAGGCAGGAAGCTCCTGCCCCCAGTCTATTGTAGCCTGTAGTTCTCTCTTTATTTCTCCTCTCAAGTTGTGGTAGCAAGCTTAAGTTCCCCATGTCCAAACCAGAGGCATTATTTTATTTTCCTTAACTAACTTTCTGTAGTTTCTATCTCAGTTTTTGGCTTTTCAGTTTCCCATACTAAAAACTTGTATGTTATCCGTATTTCCTTTTGTTTTGTTGCAACATTGCCCAGGCTGTCTTCCAACTCTGAGGCTGAAGCAGTCCTCCTGTCTCACTTAGCCTCTCCAGGGGCTGGGAGTGTATAAGTGTGCATCATTGCATCTAGTCCCTTTTGTTAACTTGCTAAACCTTGTTTCCTTCTGTCTCGACTGCCTCGCCCACTTCAGACCGCTGTCACATCTTCCGAGTTAGGTCTGATAGCTTAGTTGAGCTCTTGTTTTTTCTGTGAAGGAGTTGTCGTGTTCAGGTTGCTTCCTGGAGAAGTGGTTTAGAGTTTGGTTATCTTCTCCGTAGCTGCCCTCTCTCAGCACCTACACAATCCCAGAACAGCATGAGCAGCGACTGTGGAAGGAGCTGTCATTTGTATGGGTGGCCAGCCTAGAAGTAGTGGTGTTGACTTGGGAGTTAATTGCCCAAGTTGGGGTTTAAATGGTGATAACAAACCATGGTGGTCTGTTCTTAAGGGATTACTTGTGACATTCTCTCAGACTGGGTAGTACAAATGGCACACACTTTGAAGCTCCTTGGGCCTCTGTATGTCATCCAGCCTAGATTGTATCCTCCGAAGGAATAATGTTGAAAGAATAATGAAGTTCAGTGTGGTGGCTACATCCATAACCCTGGCTGCTCGGGAGGCTGAGGCAGGATTCCAAGTTTGAGGCCAGCCCAGGACCCATATAAGGGATGGGAATGTGGCTCAGTGGTAGAACACTTGCCTCGAATGAGCGAGGCCCTGGGTTTGATTCTCAGCACCACAAAAACAAACAAAATCTTTGATCCTGAAATTCTGGGCTTATCAAAACCCCTGGCATGGCTTGTCAGCTTCCTGTCTGCCCTCATTCTCCTCCCTCCCCTATAACACCTGTGCACAGCCACATTGCAGTTCTCACCTCTCCTGCTGGCTGTGCTGTAGAGCCTATTCTTCCCTCATGCAGGGGTACTCTTCCTGCCTGTCCTCACATCAGGTTTAACCCACACCAGCTCTGTAAGCCCAGCTTGTTTGGGCAGTAGCTACTACTCTGGTGTTTCCTGTTTAAAAACTGTTGCATTATAAGCTTTGTGCATTTGTCTCCCTCAGCATAGGATTTTGAGGTTGTCTAGGACAGAAACTTTTTCTCTTTTTTCAAATTTCCTCCCTGACTGATCAAGTATTTTCTTCAGCAGCTACTTAAACTGAGCATCGAGCATCGTGTTGTCAAAGAGCTGAGAGGGAATTTCTTTGTATTAGGTGTTTTCTTTTTTTCCTAGGTCGTGATATCATTGGGCTGGCAGAAACTGGTTCTGGAAAAACAGGGGCTTTTGCTTTGCCCATTCTGAATGCGCTGCTGGAGACACCCCAGCGCTTGTTTGCCCTGGTTCTCACCCCCACCCGGGAGCTGGCCTTTCAGATCTCAGAGCAGTTTGAAGCCCTGGGGTCCTCAATTGGAGTGCAGTGTGGTAAGTGCCCAAGAGGAGGAGGATCCCTGGGGCGTCCCTGCAGGTAGTGAGTGGGAAAGGAGCCTGGGAGACTGTGGTTGGTTAGTTACTGACCTGGAAGCTGATGTGTGTTTCAGCTTTGGGAAAAGCGTTGCTTGTGAGGGGAGAGCAAGTGTAAGTAGAGGTACAGTATTGACGTTAAAAGAGGGTCATGGTTTATAGAGAGAGTTAAGGATCTCTTTTCTATACTTCTTTTTATTTCTGTAGCTGTGATTGTAGGTGGAATCGACTCAATGTCCCAGTCTTTGGCGTTGGCAAAAAAACCACATATAGTAATAGGTGAGTAATTGAGCAAGGTAAGAGACACTGGCAGTGGTGCCTGGAGAAAAAGTACCAGTGCCGGGAGAACGGCTTCTGTGACCTGTTTAATTTTTTAATTTCTTAGTTTTGGGGGCTGTGTGCAGATGGTTGATCACCTTTTTGTTCTTGTTCTGAAGTGTTGCCTTTTCTCTTAACCCTTTCTTGGGTAGCAACTCCTGGCCGGTTGATTGACCACTTGGAAAACACAAAAGGTTTCAATTTGAGAGCTCTCAAATACTTAGTCATGGATGAAGCAGACAGGATATTGAACATGGATTTTGAGACAGAGGTGAGTTCTTGATTTCTTTGATCTTCCTAAGTCATCTCAAATTCCCTTTTCTAAATTTGGTCCTTTGCTCTCATGGTTTTTTTTGTTTTGTTTTTGTTTTTTTGCTGTATGGGAGATTAAATCAGGGCCTGAGCTATGTCCCCAACCCCCCTCCCCTTTTGGTTTTTATTTTGAGACAGGGTCTTGGTAAATCACTGAGTTGCCCAGGCTGGGCTCAGTCTTGTAGTCCTCCTGCCTCAGCCTCCCTGGGTGCTGGGATTACAGGTGTCAGCACCACAGCTGATTGCTCCCCTCTTTATGGAAAGCTCTATATCAGTCTCCACTATAGCGTCTCTGCTGACTTTTTCCCATTCTTGGTGCTCTTGCTTCCCACTGTCAGTGCCTCAGCATTTCAGAGATGCGAAGTGTCAAGCCAAGAGTCTCTTTTCACACATTTAATTTAGACCTCTTTTATACCTGCAATACCTTCTTTTTCTTTGATAACCCACTCATTGTTGCTTATATTCTTAGTTTTTCTTTTAACTTAAGTTAAATCTACTAATTTAAACTTCTTATCAGAATGGCATTATTGTTTTTTGATAGCATCTGATATGGTATAGTGAATAGTAAATTCTAGCTGAATTGAACTGACTTTTGATTCCCAAATCTCCACAGTGATATATTTCATATCTTAGTCTCTACTTCCTTCACTGTGCAGAAGATTTGCAGATGTCTCTGGTCAGATGTCACATTGGTGTCCTTTCCTCTTTGTACCTCAGGTTGACAAGATCTTGAAAGTGATCCCCCGAGACCGGAAAACATTTCTCTTCTCTGCTACCATGACCAAGAAGGTGAAATTTGCTTGGACATCTGTTTCCTTCTTTATATAAGAATTGATACATTAAAAGAATAATAAAAATACATAGAAATAAAGTTAGAACATTTAGGAATTAGTATACTGCTTTTGTTTTTCTTTTTTAGGTGCAAAAACTTCAGCGAGCAGCTCTGAAGAATCCTGTGAAATGTGCTGTTTCTTCCAAATACCAGACAGTTGAGAAATTGCAACAGTATTACCTCTTTATTCCCTCTAAATTCAAGGTAAAGTGTTTACTTTGATCATTCCTGCCTCTCCCTTTTCTCACAAAAGCATCTGAAAATGTGTCAACTCTTGATTAACTGAGAGCTGTGATAAAGGTGGGGTCCCTTCTGTTTGCTTTAGGCTGCATGTTGTGCTAATAGTTATCACAGATAAGTCAAACATTCCAGGAATTCACGGAGTATTAAACCACAGTGTTGAAGTCCTGGTGTAGTGATGTATTTACTTTGCAGCCTCATGTATTCTTAAGGTAGTTTTTCCTTAGCTTATTATGTGTATTTTCTCTCTTGGTTTCTTTCTTTCTCTCCCTCCTCCCTTTTCCTTTCTTTCTTTCTTTCTTTCTTTCTTTTTTTTTTATAAAAGGAGTGCCTAATTTTATACTTTGATAAAGATTTCTGGTTGCTGGGCTCTACTTTCCCAGGAATAGACCTGAGGCTGTGTTGGGGACACACGGTTTGCATGCAGATCACAGTACTGGTTAAGATGTGCAAAGCTGGCAGCTGGTGGACAATTGAGAAGCACTTGTATAGGCTTAATCTTTCCTTAATGTGTATATTAGATCTCTATCCCTTTCTCTCAGGTTCAATTACATATTTTATTTTGGGTTTAACTTAGGATACCTACCTGGTATATATTCTAAATGAATTGGCTGGAAATTCCTTTATGATATTCTGTAGCACCTGTAACAACACTCAGAGAACAGCTCTGCTGCTCCGAAATCTTGGATTCACAGCCATCCCTCTGCATGGACAAATGAGTCAGGTAAGGATTCTTTCGAATCATTAGCCATGAACCATAACGTGTCTTACAATAGAGTTATGCACTAAAGACATATGGCATTAATACCAGTTTCCATGAATGTGCTGATTTTATGGACTTTGAATTGCTGCTCTGAAAGCTTATTTTCCTTTGTTAGTACTAGAAGTCCTCAGATGAATATTTTATAGGTTTGCAAGCTCTTACATTGATTTATGTAGCCCTAGAGGTAATACTGATTCTTCAGTCTCTAAAGACTTAATTATTATTATTTTCCAATTATGTTTTCTGTTGTGTTAAAAAATCCCTATTTTGTATTACTGTTTGCAGCCTAATTGTTAAATATTTTTTAATGCTTCTCTATTGGTTTTGACTTTTAAAGCTCTGTTCTAGACTTACAGGGAAAAATTTTTAAAAAATTTTCTCTTTTAAGTCTTTAGTGTGTCTGTTTTATATATTTTGCATTCCAAGATTCCTTAGTTTTCCAAGATTAAAATGTTTCCCTTTTTCCCTTCCTTTGACATACAGGATTTCTTTCTTTTTTTTTTTTTTTTTTATCGGTCCTGGGGATTGAACTCACGACCGCCTGCTTGCAAGGCAGGTGCTTGTGCTGCTGAGCTAAATTCCCAGCCCCTGAAATATAGGATTTCAATGCACAGATTTTGATTATATCCATCCCCCAATTTCCATACCCCCTCTCCTTTCTTTTTGTCTAATAGTCCCCCTTCTACTTTCTTGTCATCTTTTTTAGATTCCACCTATTAGAGAGTTATCATTTTTTTTTCATCATTTCAGAGCAAGCGCCTGGGATCCCTTAATAAGTTTAAGGCCAAGGCTCGTTCGATCCTTCTGGCAACTGATGTTGCAAGCAGAGGTTTGGACATCCCTCATGTGGATGTGGTTGTCAACTTTGACATTCCAACTCATTCAAAGGTGGGTTCTGTTGCTAGCTGTGTATTCTAGTCTCCAAGTTTATTTATTAAATGTTTTCTTAGAACAGTTTTTTTGTCCTTAAATTAATTATCAAAGCTCATGAAAGTCTTTGTTTATTCAGCTTGCACAAGGCTGTGTATGTGATATCAATAATTGTGGGTATAGGTAGCCACGTAGAGTTAGTTGTTGGATGCTGTCAGTCAGAGGACCAGATTCTGATCTGTGTCAGTCTCTTCTTCAGCAGTGATGGTGTTTGGTTCTAGTGAATCTCAAGGTTTCTCAACTTTGGCACCGTCACCATTTTGGGGCAGTGAATTCTTGCTACAGGGTTGTTCGTTGCATGTCGTATGCTTAGCATTCCTGCTTTCTACTCACTAGATGACAGTATCCACACTCTTCCAGCATGACAGCCAAAAATGTTTCCAGATATTACCAGCCGTCCCCTAGGGATGACATAATCACCCCTGCTTGGGAACTGTATATCTCTTGGCTTCATATTTAACTGCTATAGATAAGGTGCTATCTCATTTGATTTTCACAATAACTTTTATGTCCAGGCATGTATTTCTATCCTTGTTTTATAAATAGAACTAAGGTTCAGAGAGGTTATGTTGTTTGCAGATAAAACTGTAGCTGGCATGTGGGAAAACCTCTAGCTCTTTTATCATATTGCCTCTAACCATGAAGATATGCTTTATGGATTGGCTTTTTTTTTTTTTTGGTGGTACTGGGATTGAGCCCAGCCCTTTGCAGGGTCTTCCTAAGCTGTCCAGCCTGGACTTAATTGCCGTCCTCCTATCTTAGCCTCTCAGTGCCCGGCCTGTTTTCTTTCATAGGTTTACAGCAGGACTTTGTATTCCTGGTTGTTTGCTTATAATCCATATAACCTTAATTTATACATTTTGCTGTAGGATTACATTCATCGAGTAGGTCGAACAGCTAGAGCTGGGCGCTCTGGGAAGGCCATTACTTTTGTCACACAGTAAGTAAATCAGCCTGGGGTATTGGTAAGGTAAAGAACAGAGTGCTAGAGGAGCTCCAAAGAGCTGGACTATCTTGGAACTTGGCTCTCTACTGTTGCTTTGCTAATCAGTTAAATGCCCTTTCCCTGGTTTTTATATTTCTAAAATGGAAATACTATCTACCTAGCAAGGTTTTGAAGAAAATTGGAGGTGTAATACATGAAAAGGATCTAGTGTATTTGGTATGTAGAAGCACAAGATAAGTGGATCCTGTTGTTTTTCTTTTAGTGGCTAAACTTGAAAATAATGACCTTTCCCTTAATTTAGAAAGTATTAGAATAACTATGTATAATCCTTTTTTTTTTAAAAGTTACAAATTTTTGTATACCTATGGCTTTTCTGTGAATAAAGAATACTATGGATACTTTTCTAATAGGCCATGCACAAAAATTGCTTTTGATTAGTACTTAGAAAAGTGTTATTATGTTCAATATTGTTTAAAACTGGCTTTATACTGCCTCATGTTATATAATGTCTTATAGTTTGAGAATGGACAGATATTTGCACTATCAGCCAGTCAAAGCCATGCCTTGTTTCCTTCTCAGGTATGACGTGGAACTCTTCCAGCGCATAGAACACTTAATTGGGAAGAAACTGCCTGTCTTTCCAACGCAGGATGATGAGGTTATGATGCTGACAGAACGTGTGACTGAAGCCCAAAGATTTGCCCGAATGGTATGTAGCTTGCTGTCTTTTTCAGCAGCTTCAATGCAATGATGCTAGCTGTGTATTAGATACTCTATTATATTAATCCTCATCAAAACTTGAGAAACTGAGTATCATTTTGTTCCAAATTTAAGATGAGCAAAAACTGAGGCGTAGTTAGATAGTGGGCTTTAGACTGTGCAACCACATGGTTGAATCAGTGTTTAGACCTATTCAACCATGTCTTGGTTACTTTTCTCTCATTAATACCTGACCCCCAAAGTTATGGAAGGAAGGTTTATTTCTTATAGGTTGGAGGTTTTAGTCCATACTCAGTTGGCTCCAAGGCAAAATGACATGGCTGAAGGGCAGTGGTTCATGGTGGGTGACAAACAGCAAGCATGAACAGCAAAAAAGAAAGACATGCCTTCTTCCCACTGTGACACTGTATGCTGGTTTCACTCCTGGGTGGGTGTAGCACTCACACCAGCAATCCCAGTGCCAGACAATGAACCAATCACGAATGCTTGATTCACCCCTGTCCATGATTGCATGAGACTTGGGGAAGGGGGCATCTGATATAAACTATAACAGACTACATTCTAAGCCGGTGTTCATGGAATGTTTTATATGTGGCAAAAAACTCATCAGACTTGCTGTGGACTGTGAGCTACGATAGTCTAACTTCTCGGGATCAGTTCCTCACCTGTAAACTGGAACTAGTACTTGTCTTGAGTGCCTGTGATGTTTGGAGAGCACGAGAAAAGTTCTACCACTGGTAGTGGTAGAAACAGCAGTGGTGAGGATGAGAAGATTCTCAAGGAAACCTTTGGAAGTGAATGATCTTTGCTTCCTGAGTTCCACATTGAGAGAGGGAAAAATTGCCCACAGATTGCTTTTTGAGTAGCTGAGGTACTGTCTTGTCCACATGGAATTTGTCTGGTATTTTTGTTGATAAAAGTGCTACCTGTGCATTGGGAAAGGAATTTAGAAAATACAGGAAGGTTTAAAGTGGTACATGAAGCTGGATGTGCTGGCACACCACCTGTAATTCCAGCACTTGGGAGGCTAAGGAGGGGGATCATTGTCAATTTGAGGCCAGCCTGAGTTACATAGTGAACTCAGGGTCAGCCTGAGCTGCTGAACGGCATAGTGAGACCCTGTCTCAAAACAAACGAACAAAAAGCCCCCAAGAAACAGTAAATGTAAAGCTAAACAGTCCATGACAAGACAGCTATTGATAACATTTGAGTATTTTTCTCTGTTTAGCTATAATTGGAATTGTTATTAAACCCAGGGCCTTCACACTGAGTTACATCCTAAGCTCTTTTTAAAATGCTTTGAGACAGGTTCTTGCTGAGCTGCCCCAGGACAAGCTTAAACTTATAGTCCTCTTGCCTCAGCTTTTCAAAGAGCTGAGATTATAGGTGTGCCACCACACTGGACTATGACCTTTTTTTTATTTCTCCACTTTCGTACTTCCGGTCCTCTCACCTCACCATTTCTTTATACTACATGGAATTCCATCACACATGTAACGTGATTTATTATTTTTTTCAGCTTTTTAAAATTTTAACTAGTACAGCATTGAACATCTTAATGTGTGTAGTTTTGCATATATGTTTCCTTAAATTCCTAGAGGTAGAATTCTTAGGCCAAGAAACACCTAAATAACATTTGAATTTATAGGTGATACCAAGTTAGAGGTAGATTTTTGCTACATCTTGGGTAATACAGGCTACTACCTTTCTCTTTTTTCAACTTCATGTATTTTTATTAATTCACACTTGTACATAATGATTACGTTTATTATGGGGAGTTGGTGCATGTATATATATGACACATCTTTTTATTTCCCTTCCCTATCTTTGTCTTAAATCTTTGCTAGGCTGCCATGTGAAAACACAGGCCTCTTGTTTTAATTTTATGCTTGGATCACTAACCAGGTTGACATTTTTGCGTAGTTGGAGTCGGGTCCTCCTCCTTTGCCAGGATCAGAGGCTAGGGGAGGTTCTTGATGCCTGATCTCAAGGCGAGGCCTAGAAGTATGTCACCCTCAGTGATGGCAGCGCACTGTCAGTCGGATCCTTTCTGTTTTTCTGTAGGAGTTAAGAGAACACGGTGAAAAGAAGAAACGCTCACGAGAGGATGCTGGAGACAATGACGATACGGAGGGTGCTATCGGAGTCAGGAACAAAGTGGCTGGAGGGAAAATGAAGAAGAAACGGAAAGGCCGTTAATCACTTTCTCAAGGGCTTGAATTCTGCTCTATCTGTAAGCAGGGATCGAGGAGGGGAATGAAACGCCTCCAGCGAGTGCCTCATACCAGAAACTGTGGGTATTAGACGCTACTCGGCTAATTGGGCACGAGTGCCCCTTTCTTTGAGTTGGCTGTCATTGCTGCTGGATGATGTTTACAGTGCTGCTGTCAGCTTGCTGTTCTTCGACTTTGGTTCCTTGCTTGTGACCTGAGTGGGACGTGCCCTGCTCTCACTTTACACAGACCTTTTGCCCCTTTTCAGCTGCAGATCAAGGACTTGGGTGATGAAACACATGGCCAATCATTGTAGTTTGGACATTCGTAGGTGGTATTTATGCTAGTTTAGCTTGTGCTTCACTGGGCTCCAAGTAAAAAAATAAATGTTACTTTTAAAAGATTTAGACTTCTTGGAGACCTTGATGTTAAAGGGCTTTTTAGATTTAAGTAAGATCTTCATCCAAGGTATTCTGATGCCTGCCTATAATCCTAGCATTCTGGAAAAGGATTACAATTTGGGTATTTGAGTGTTTTTGTTTTCTTTTGAGACAGGGTCTTGCTATGTAGTCCAGGCTGACCTTGAAGTCACTGGGTATCCCAGGCTGGCCACAAATTTCTAGTAATCCTCTGTTTTAGCCTCTCAAGTGCTGGGGTTACAGGTGTATACTGCCAAGCTGACTGGGATTATAAGTTTGAGCCCAGCATGGGCAATTTAATAACTTACTAAGACCTTGTTTCAAAAAACCCAAAAACATCCAATTCTTATTAATAAATAAAAATGAAGAATGTGTCAGTGGCAGCTAAATGGCTCATTCATTTATTATTTTTAATTAAGGTAAGCATTATAGTATGATTTTGAAAAGGAACTCAGTAAGGGTGTATGATAGATAGCTTTGAAGCAGAAGTACTTCCTAAAAGGAGGCTGTTTTTCTTGGGCATGGAGGAAATGGCATCAGTAGGACTAACCATAAAGGTCTTTAATCTCTAAATAGACTTCACTTTCCTGACTCCCTGAGTCAAGCAGGTGGTTAGGAAGACTGGTTTATGTGGACTCCTCTACCCAGGTGATGAGAGTAAAGTGAGAATTCATCAGCAGAGTGGGATAATTCTAAGACCTACTTTCCTACACTTGTCATTGGTGATCAGCATTCTTTGTCCCACCTGTCAGGGGTTGAGTTTGGATGATGGCGAGCTGTGGAGGAAGTAGGCATTAGTGCTGGAAAGTGTGGCTGGGAAGGGAGGTGGCCAGAAATCAGAGACAGTGTTCAGCTTCCCAGCCACAGACAGTCTTGTGTTCTGGGGACTTTTTTACACATGAGGTGCCTAATACTTTTGGTGGACTCTCTCAGTTTTATTAGAGGAGAATGTATCTGCACTGGCAGAGTCAGGGTAAGAATCACGGAGATGGATTAAGATTGTGACGAAGAGAAACTTTCCATGTGCAGTGCATCTTGAAGGAAAGTAAGTCCTAAAACTTGCAGTATTTGGTGAGAAAGTTACAAAGCGATACCATTCTCTGTTGTTGTCCCTGGGTGATCCATTCCATGCAGGGAGATCTTAAATATGCAGGTGAAGTCAGGCACGTTGATGTACACCTGTAATGCCAGCTACCGAGGAGACTGAAGCAGGACGGTTGCAAGTTTGAGATCAGCCTGGGCAACTTAGCAAGGTCTTTTAATAAAAAGCACTAAGGATATAGCTTATTGGTGGAGGGCTCTAGGTTCAGTCCCCAGTTCTGCCTAAATAAATAGATAATAAATGGGGTGCTTTCTACCACAGATCTGTCCTGATAAGGTGAATCTTGTACATACATGGGTTTGTGAATAAAAATACAGTCATGGCTTATTTGGTTTAAATTTTTTTTTTTTTTGTTTAATTTTTTTATATTTCATTACTGTCCGTTATGCTACATTTAAAAGAAGGGTAAGTTAAAGGAGTCAGGACACAGTAAAAAAAAAAAAAAAGAAAAAAGGAAAAAAGGGGTAGAAACAGGTACATGACTGGGTGAGCGTACTCCTAACTGTTACGCATTGTGCCTACCACTTGAAACTTTTTCCGCTAACATGGAACTTTGAAGACTGATGACACTCCCTAGGGTGGCTTTGGATGAATAGCAAGTTTATCTCTGAGCTGACAGATGATTGGTGGTTCTTGATTCAACTTAGTGGTGAACATCAGAAGCAAGTTGAAGCTGGATTAGGGTACCTAGCAGTGGGGAGTCAGGAGGAGAGATTGGAGTTATCCTGGAGGATACGCAGATTATTTAATTTTTTAGTTCTGCATTTCCTGAAGTATGAAACTGAACCTTGAAACAGTCTTCCCCCCTCCCCAATTGTGAGTAAATACAGAAATGTTTATGACTTAATAAAGGGAGTATCCTGCAATAGTCATGCAATGCCAGCCTAGAGAAAAGCTTCCTCTGCTCATCTAATCATAATCTTAACTTACGTAGTATTCTTTGTATGTAGTTGATGTAAGAATAGCTTTAGGGTGTCAGTGTATTCCTGGTTTTACTTCTGTGGAGCTGAAAGGGAATGAGGAAAATGCCTTTCTATCATAGGAATGGGTCCTAGGATCCCACCGAAGGACTTTCATGCAGGTAAAGCAGGCCCAGAATCCCAGGGTTCTCAGAGAATTTCATTTGTTGCTAAGAGTCTAGGTAACTGGATTGTGATTCTGTGTCTTTCAAAAAAACATGATGAATACCCCAGAGTATGGTTTAATATCTAGTGACCTTTCCAGGTAGCTTCCTGCCTGCCTAGTTTCCACTAACACAAATCAGAGACTTTGTTTAGCCCAAGTCCTTCAAAGCCCTGGAAAATAGGATCAGAAGAAACCACAGACTGTGTGGTGTTGGTTAGGAGAAATGAAGGAATTCAAGTTGTCAAAAGCAAGTCACAAAACAAAGCAAGAAAATATGTCCTAATGCTAGATGAAGAGAATATGCAAGAAGGTCTGACCCACACTGGTTCTTAAGGTGAAATGTAACCTGAGGGCAGACTACCTCAGGATGGGAGATGACTCTCTTTAGCTGGAACAAGAGACTCAGATGGGGCACTAGAGATCGAAGGTTACCCACACCTACATTCCTTCTCAGGCCTCACCTGTCTCAGGAATGCACTCCAAGTACAGCTGAAAATAACTGCAGAAACTTGAGGTCTGGGAAATAGCACCCAAGCACCTATAGTAAGGAGCTGACTTGTGTCAGGTGGGAAGGAGACGGGAGGAGAATGGGCTCAGCTAGAGTGCATGCTATCTCAAATGTCTCTTTGGATTCTTGGAGCTTTTGTCTGCTTGTAGCCATCTGTTTACCAGATAGCTTCCAAAAGCAAAGGATGTCCCTTGTCACCACGGCCCTTAAGTAACCTGTCGATAGCATCACGGAGTTAGAAGGAGCAGGAGGGCTGTGGGAATGCAACAGAGCTTGGGAAACTTAGTCATGAGACCATTTCCTTCTGTCACTATGTGGTCTTGTGTGTGCTCCCTCTCTGAACCCTTTTTCCCCCTTGTTAACACAGTAATAGGACCACTCATCCTATCTGCCTCAGAGTCTGGAGCGTAGTTTATAAAATTCTGTTCTCTCCCTTCGTTCCTTCCACTGTGTGCTATCTTCTGGCCTCTGTGCTGTGTACTCTAGGGACAATCCTAAAGAAAAGATCAGGTGTCCACGCAGAGTTAAGTCTTAGCGCTCTATGTGATTGTGCTTGCTACCCTTGGGCTGGGACCATGGCTTATTGATGGATGTAACTAACGTCTTCCAAGGCCCAAAGCACAATGGATGCTCAATACCTACCATGGGCTGTGTTGGGAACTTCGCACGTACCACCTTGAGCAGTTCAAACAAATCTAAAGGATGGGTATTAGTGTTCTCTCAAGCACTGTGGAGCCAGCTGGCCACATTGCCTTTTCATAGCTGTGAGATCTTGGACAAGTTATTCAGCCTTTTTGAATTTCAATCTCTTTATCTGAAGAAGCATAGTACCTACCTTAAAGGATTGTGAAGTTTAAATAAACCATACTTTGGCTCATCATATTGATTTATACGTATTAGTCATTATTACTATTATTGTTTTAATTTTAGCAGTTGCAGGGGGTAAATGACTTGCCTAGATCATACAGTTGGGAATGGGCTAAGTAGAAATTTGCAGCCAGATTTGATTCCACGTTAGCTCTTCACCCTGAATTGTGTATATGAGGATATATAATTCCGTATTATATTATTCACTTAATAAATGCCTACTGAATAAATGATTAAACATTATTTACAGCATTATTCGTCCTTTAGAAAAAAATATGTTCCACAAACATGTAAGTGTTAATGCAAATAAGCTTTCAGAGTCCATCTGCTTTTTAAATTGACAAACCACCACCAGGTAAGAGAACATGTCATTTTCATATTTACCAGTAGATGGCAGAAGAAAGAAGAGATTACCTCCGTGGGAAAAAGTTTTGGTTTCTGGCGGAAAAGAATGATCAACAGTAGGCAGGGACTGAGCCAGAATGCAGATTAAAAGGACTCTCAGTGTGATGTGAGGCCCACAGTGACTAAGGAGTAGTGGTCAGGGTGGGTGTGGGAACTGCTGCAAGGTATCTGAGGGATGTCGGCTTTCAGGAAGTTTGGCTAGATTCATCCAAAGATGGGAGCTGAGAAGGCTGAAGTCAACTAAAATTCAGGCAGTAGAGAGTTCAGTAAGAAAAAGTATCAGGCACAGTGGCAAATAACCATAATTCCAGCTACTTGGGAGGCTGAGGCAAGAGGATCTCAAGTTTGAGTCCAGCTTGTGCAACTTAGCAAGACCCTCCCTCAAAATTTAAAAAAAAAATTTAAAATGTCTGGAAATGTAATTCAGTGGTTGTCTAGCTTGTAACAATGCCTGGGGTTCCATTCCCAGTACCAGTGAAAAGTAAGCAAGGAAATATATAAAGTCCGTCTTGATTCCTAGTTAGTTTATAAGCAGACTTATTGTTTTCTGAAGTCTGCCCTTCCTTCCTGCGGTGTCAATCAAGTCTTTGGCTCTCTGATTCTTCTACTGTCCCCACTCCACCGCAGCCTACTGTTTAGAACACTGACAGTCCATCCCTGCCTACCCCTAGGCATGTTGGTTAACTAGCATTAATTGTTCTACACTGTTAATCCCCTCCAACTGTATCCTTTTCTCTTACTGATCAGGTCTAGTAGGCGTGGCCCATAGCTTTCCAAAAAAGCTTGGTGCTGAGTGGCTGTTGAGCCAAGGTAGTTATTTTGACTGTGGCCCAAAGTGTTGAGGAATTGTCCTACTGGATTCAAAAGAGTAGCAGTAAGCAGTCAGTTCAGGTCAGAAATCCCTCCCTGGACCGAGGCTGAGAGTGGAGCTCAGTGGCGATATATGAATAACATGACCCTAGGTTCAATCTCCAGCCCTACTCCAAACCCCACCCCTACTCACGAGAGAAAGGAAATACTGATGTTTCTACTCCCATAGACTTGAACACTGCCCTTCTACCTGTTGGAAATGTTTGTCAGTGCAGATAATAAAGTGCTCAGACATCAACAAAAATCAACGTGGCTTTTAGTTTTGCAAGAGGGTGCAAGCCCACTCCAGCAATGCACTAGTAGGCGTGGGAGGGTGTGCCTTTTATCCCTCCTAAGAAGAGCAGCTGACTTGTCCCCCTCCTCGATGTCTGGTTTGGAGGTTCACAACCTACCCTGATTGGCTAAGTCAGAGGGTGCAAGGGGAATTTGAGGGGTTGCTGAGGAGCAGGGAGAACAGGAGGAGGGGGATTGGAGAGCAAAAAATCCTTGGCCTAGGATAAACTTTTTGATTTGTAGCTATGTTCCCAGAATTGGAACCATGCAGACATTTTCTGTAATGTAGTGTGTTTAGGAAGGGATACTGAGGCTGGCTAGAGTCTAAGATGCAGTCACTGATGTTTAATAGAAAACAGAACTTACTGTTTCCCACACACCCGGAATGTGCCTTTGGGTGAGGAGTATTTCTGCCCAACATTTAACGTGGTCGAAACTCACCCAAAGTATTAAATCCAGTGCCAACTTCAAACCAACAACCATGTTGTGTTTTCTGGGTGCGTCACGAGAGCAGAGATGATCATAAGGTTTCCCATTTGACATATTTGTCTTTGTACAATTATCGTAGTGGTTGTTTCTTAACCACTGATGAAATTCTGTAAGGTTGTGGAGAGCCTGCATGTGTAGACGTTCTCAGGGTGGCAGGCACATACTACTTCATGTAATGGGAGGAATGACTCATTTCTTGAAACCATGAAACAGAAACTTGCTTGTGAAATTTGAAAAATGCAGTGTAGTGGGTGTGGTGGTGCACACTTGTAATCCTAGCATTTGGGAGGCTGAGGCAGGAGGATCCATGTGAGTTCAAGGCCAGCCGGGGCTATATAGTCAGACACTGTCTCAAAACAAACAAACAGACAAAACAAAAAGGAAGAAGAAAAAAATGCAGCATGATCATCTCTCATGCTTTCTCTTCAGTGATTTATTTGTTCCAGGGTGTTGAGGAATTTTTTGGGGTGTGCTTATGCTGACAGCGTGAGGTGTGGTCACTGCACAATTAATCTGTGGTTTCTGTGTCCGTGTCATTAGGTTTGGTGGATTTCAGAGGGTTGCGGGTGAGGAGGCATGGGGAGGCTGTCCCTCTTCATGAGAGTTTAATATTGCCACCAAGCCAACAGAAAAGAAATAAATTTTGATATTTGGACTCTGCCATAATAATCACCACAAACCTCACACAAAGTCAGAATTTTCGGGTTAAGAGGACCTTGGTGGTCAGCAAGAATTTGTTCGTTATTCCTTGGAGGATACTTAAGTTTTAAAACTTGTGTTTGTTTTATATGTGCCCACAAGTTGTAGCATTTTAGAATTCGAGTGGAATTTTTGTGTAATAGAGGCCAGGGGAAGGGACAAAATGCCTTTTTTTTGCAATGGGAATTGAACTTAACAACTTGCCAGGCAGGTATTGTGTTGCTGAGCTATATCTCTGGCCCCAAAATGCTTTTTTTTTTAAAGAATTTATTATTTTTATGTTTTATTTTAAGGAGAAAAATAAAATTTCAAAACAAGTTAATGGGAGAGTAACAATTGAAATGCTTTTCAGGACCAGCAGCCTCAACTCTGAATCCTCCTTTTTGAGAAGAATGACAGGAGATATAGGGGTGAATGCGTTTATATTTTCTAAATAGATGCCCATGTTCTCCCTAACCCGGACTGGGACTGTCAAGGGAGGCATGTGAGTGAGTCACTCTTCTACCTGGCTGCTGTGACATTGATCCTGGGGGTCTCAGATTAAGACGCGATCACTAAGGGCAGCCGTGGATTGACAGCAAGGATCCGGCTGAGAGTCTTGTGACAGTGTGTCTGGGTGGGAGGCCAGAAGAGGGGAAAGGGAAGCACACATCATGCTGAGATTTACAGTGAATATAAACCTCACCCAGAGCTCAGCAGTCATTTCCTGCCTGTTCTCCTGTTCTCTCTAGACACTCTGAGTCACTTGGTGGCCAGTGCCTTGGCCTGTGATTCATTTCTCTACCCTATGACCTAGAAGAATATTTGGGTGTGAGGGGTAGGGCACAGGCATCCAGGAGAAAAACGATTGCATGATAGTTTGTCGGGGTGCAGAAGGAAGGTTCTAGAATATTTCTTTTAACTCACTCATTTCTATTTTTATATTTTATTTTTTTATTTTAAAAAAGGATAAAACTAAACGTAACAAAACAACAAAGCAGACCAGAAGCAAAGCAATGTAAGTGGCTTAGATTTCAAAGCAAGACAACAGGAGATCTACAGTGACTAATATAATGTCTCTTGTTTTCTTCTAAATAGTTGTCTATGTCTTCACTATTTTTATATTTTATAATGTACAAGAGGTATCATTATAATGATAAATACAAGGCTGGGAATGGTTGTGCATGGCTGTAATCCCAGCACTCAGGAGGCTGGAGCAGGAGGATTGCTGCAAGTTTGAGACCAGCTAAGGTTAAATAGTTCAAAGCTGAAATATAGTGAGACCCTATTTAAAATAAAATATATGAGAAGTAGATACAAATTAGTGTACAGATAGGTATATGTTAAAACTGCTATGTTGTTGGGGCCAAAGATTTATTTTAACAGTGTAAGTGCCTTCTCTGGCAAGTGCAAGTTTGTGAGTTCCATCCCTGTACAAAAAAAAAAAAAAAAAAAAAAAAAAAAAAAAAAAAAAAAGCTATAACAAGTAAACTTGGGACTATAGCTCTAGGGAATTATTCAGACAGTAGATTGTTAAAACATTATATATTGTTCTGAAATTAATTTTCACACAGAACTCTAATGCAGTGTTTTAATGTGTTTAAAATTTCAGATTGTTAGAATGAAGTGAGGTTTCCAAATTCTAGGTTCAAACCAGAATTTATTCTCTAGTTCCTTACGAGTTCATACAAGATACGTGAACTATTTGCACTATTTCCAGAGCTTAGTAGAAATCTTATATTCATCCCAAATAAAGCCAGTTTAAAGGTCAAGTGCTCTGTAATGGTTAGAAATATTAAGAACTTGGAGTTGTCCTCATGCTTATCAGAGGATATGATTAGTCGTTACAGTGTTGACCTTTGCCATTGGCTGGCCACCAAGCATTGCAAAGCCTTTTCCATTTTGAGGGAATTCTGCTGGAGGCCTGAAGTAATGGGGGACACGACACTCCCACATTCTGATCTCTGGGCACTGCCATTGTTAGACCTGAGAGGGAGCCCCTGGCCTGAGCACTGCTCCTTGAGAGTCCCCATGCTTTGGGGTATGTTTTTCAAATTTTTCTAAATCTTCATATGTAAGGATTGCAGTTGGTCCCAACCTTGTCAGTCTTTTGATTTTAGCTCTTTTCCATCATGGATTTATTTCTCATAGGAAATCTCATTCCCTACAATCGCTTCAACATATTTGCTGAGGTATCAGTGACATAATCAACCATACATGTTTAACGTGCACTGTGGTACATTTTGTCATGTGTGGCATATACATTCATCCATGACTCTGTGACCATAAGCAAGACAGTTAACATGCTCACCGTCCCCAAAACGTTTGCACTTGGCTCCTTCTTAGTCTTCTCGCTCTTCCCTGGCACCCCACTTCCCCAAAACCATTAATTTGCTTTGTGTCAATATACAAATTAGTTTGTATTTTTAGTTTTGTTAAAATGGAGTTATATAACATATACTTTTCTAAAAATCAACTTTTTATTTTATTTTTATTATTTTGAAGGTAGTAAAATACAACAGAACAAGACAGAACAAAGCCAGTTGAGACAGTGTAGTGAAATTGGTATAGATCTTCACAGCAGGTTACCGGGATAATAGCAATAGGTATCACAGTATATCTCGTTATCATCACAATAGTTATTCTTTCAATAAGGCATAGCAAACTAAAATGAAGTATAGAACATTATAGAACTTATCAAAACAGAATATTGAATAGAACAGTACCATTAATGAGAATAAAGCAAAAACAGTAGTAAAAATATTTGCCTTCAAAAAGATGGTAGAAGGAAATCTCCCTTACTTGCTAGATTGCATATGGTCAACCTTCCAAGAGATGTTCAGATTTCTGGTTCCCATTTGCTAAAGGGGGGCAGGGGAAGTGGGATGTTTGACTCTAAGCCTGTGCACTGGTAGGCTCACTATTGCTTACCAGGGAGGGGAGCTGCTTGCTTGGTTTCCCTGCGTCCTAAGTTCCAACATGGTGTGAATCTCAGAAGATGCTGGTGGTTCTCCCCCTGGGACAGCTGCAGCCTGCCACCAAAATCCAACTTCTTTCACTTGAGAGAATTAGAGTTTCACTCATGTTGTGTTTATCAATACTTTGTTTCTATTTATTGCTGAGTTGTGTTCCACTATATGGTGTATCTTACTTTTTTACTTTATGTTTTAGTGATATCTTTGGTGGGATTTGGTATCAGGATTATGCTGGCCTGATAGAATGAATTAAGAACAGTTTCCTCATTCTTTCCTGAAAGATTTTTGTAAGATCAATGTAACCTTTTCGTTATATATTTGATGGAAATTACCAATGAAGCTGTAAGGTCTGGAATTTCAGTTATCAGTATATTTTCTTTAATACATATTTAAGAGTTTCTATTTCTTCTTCTGTCAGTTTGCATATAAACTTTTTGCAAGAATTCATTTTATTTAATTTGTAAAGTTTATTAGCACAAAATTGGTCCATGTTATTCCCTTATTATCATTTTGATATCTGTAAGATCTTAGGGAATGATCTATCATTAATTTCTGATATTGGTTATTTGGATGTTCTCCTCTTTTCACTCTATTTTCTTTCTTGCTGTGTCTGGTAGTGCACACCAATAATCCTCATGCTTGAGAAGCTGAGGCAGGAAGATTCAAGGACAGCCCTAGGCCACAGTGATTTCCCAATGACTACAGAGCAAGACTCGGCCTAAAACAGACAAACTAACACATGAACAAATAAGATTAACCATCACAAGTCTGTACCCCTTATCAACTGAATATTCAATCACATCCTGTTAAACCATGTGTAAATCCAAATAAACACAGTAACAAGATCATAATTCTGTCTCATATGATATAACTCTTCTGTGTACAGCTGAAAATGTACTGATTCCTTCCCCAAAGTCTCAAAAGTCCTAGCATTTCTCTATAGTTCACATCCAAAGTTTCCTTTGAGACTCAAGGCAAAATCTCAGTTGTGAGCTCCAGGAAAAATCAAAATGCAAATACATACCCCCCACATGCAATGGCTTTCAGTTCCTAGTTGGCTGGCTCCAAAGCAGGGAGGCACGATTGAAGAACATCACAGAGAACAAAAACAGTTCATAGCAGAAAGCAGAAGGCAGGAGGCAGCAAAAGCAGCAAGTGACAAGCAGTGACTGCAGTGGTCCTCTTTTGGTCCCTTATCAGGCTACCTTTAGGGCATGTAGCACTCACCCCCAGGGTGGGGCACTCTTAATCCTACCATGGAACCATAGATCAGTCCCAGTATCACATCCTTGATCCTAGCATCACGTATTCTAGATTCAGCCACCTCTGGAAAATTCCACCTATGACTGCAAAAAGCTTTGTGGGGACAGTTAGATATAAGCCATAATATCTGGCCTACTTAGATTCTTTTTAGTGGCACTAATCTCATTAGTAACTACATCTTCTTTGATTCCAACTTTCCATGTGCTTCTTTTCCAGCCAACCTAAGTTTTTCAAATCCTTTGGCTTTTTTGGTGTGTGTGTGTGTGTGTGTGTGTGTGTGTGTGTGTGTGTGTGTGTGTTTCTCCCAATTCTCACTGTAAATCTAGCTAGAAGAAGCCAGTAATACTCAGGCCACTTCTTGAATGTTGAGTTACCTTTAAATTTTCTCAGCCAGATCAAGTAGTCCTGCTCTTAAACTCAGCCTTGCACAAAATTGTAGGACATGGATGAAAGGTAGGCAAATTCTCTGCTAGAATGTAACATGAGGGGTCGGGGATATGGTTCAGCAGTGTAGCACCTGCCTGGCAATCACAAAGTCCTGAGTTTGAATCCTAGTGCAAAAACAAAGCAAAACAAAAAATGTAACATGAATGGCTTCTAGTTCAATTTCCAAAGCAGTCTGTGTTCCCATTTGAAACTTGATGAATGCATTCTTCACTGTCCACCTCTGGTTTTCTGAGTTCAGACCAGAATTTCCCAGCAAGTTCTTCTTACAGGATTCTAGTGCTTTTCTTGCCTGCATATCATAGCCTTTCCAAGCTCCTCCTGCAAAACCAGTCCCAAAGGCTTCTGAACCATGAGGTCAGGTGTAATCACAGAAATGTCTCTACTTTTCTGCTACCAATTTTCTGTATTGGTCACTTATCCTTTGTCAGGACAAGATACCTGCATATACAACCTAACGGAGGAAAGTTTATTTTAGCTCATAGTTTTGGAGGTTTCATTCCATGGCCAGCTGGCTCCAAGGCAGAAACCTCAGGTGAAAGTATGTGGCAGAACAAAGCTGTTTAATGTGGAAGTCAGGGAACAGAGTGAGAGGGAAGGAGTCAAAGGGGAAGGGCTGGTGACCACATATACCCTTCAAAGATGCCCCTATGACCCACCTCTTGCAGCTGGGTCCCACCTCTTAACAGCCTATTCAGCTATGACTCACCAAAGAACCGTATCTTCTAATTACTTTCACAAATCTCCAGCTCTGAACATATGAGCCTTCTGGAAGACACTTTTGCTCCAAACCCAACATGGCTCTTATTAATTCCTTATTTGATCAATTTGTCTATTATAACCAATTTTCCTTAGTTACTTTCTTCATTACTGAGATAAAATATCCAATGCTTACAATTTAAGGAAAGAAAGGTGTATTTTGGCTCCCAGTTTGTGGAGGTTTCAGTCCATAGTTGGCTACCTCCAACTATGGAGCCAGGACAGCATGACAGAGGGGTATATCAGAGGATTGTTACTCATGGTATGGCAGTCAGGATGCAGAGGAAGAACAAGGAGGGAGAGTAGGAGGGAGATGGGTACTTTGGGCTCTCTCCCAGTGACCTGCCTCCTTTCACTAGGCTTCACCTCCCACTATCATCATTAGCTAAAACTCCATCAGTGGACTAATGCACTGGTGAATATCATGTCCTCATGACCCAGTTACTAAAAGGCCCATTTATGAGTGTGTGAGGCTTGGGGAGGGCATTTAGGTGTCAGCCATAATACTTCCAGTGCACTCCTATAATGGTTACTACCCACATATCTACATGGATGACCTCACAGATGACCCAGCATCTGACACACCATGCCAGGCTACCTCCCTGCTTGGCAACCGCACCTACTCCGTTTGCTTTCCTGTTCTCACTCCAGACTGCTCAGATGTAAATGTCTTCCTCAACATACTCAGTTCTAGTACCCAATTCCAGGCTACTTCTCTATGGGGACATCTTTATTATTCTGCTTGGTCTCTGACATACTCTGCCAGGCTGTCCTGTAGCCGGGACATTTTGTCCTGTTTGGCCTCCAGCATCCCACACTAGCCAACCCTCACACATACGCCTTCCTTACCTGCTCTGGCTCCAGGGTACCCCTCATCTGTATGGGCCAGTAGTCCGTGTTGGTCTAATTCCTCTGTGAATGACCTCCTTGTCATCCATGGGCTCTACCTCCTGATGCTGGATCCTCTATTTCTCCACCCTCTGTACTCTTTCCCTTTCAGGCTCAAACTCACCATTCTGGGCCTCCATCACACAGGGACATCTTTCTATACTACCAACCCCATATATAGATATAGATATGTTGTGTTACAGTGTTAGATATCAAAGGCAATAATTATGAGTTCCAGTTGATAGGAGTTGAGGACAGTTACTCATATGACAATTCACTCATTCACTCATTTATTCAGAATTCTTGGTATGTGCCAGAACTGTACTAACCACTGAGGTTGGTATAATCTCCTGTGGTTACATCCGAAACTCAGGGTTAGTTACAAGATGGCTTGGCCTTGTCCATGCTATGCCTCCCTTAGCTGTGACGTCAAAATTTGAGGGATTTCTCACAGTTGCATGTTTTTGCTAAAATGATCCCCCTCAGTCCAAGCCATGATGCTCCCTGATTCATCACCTCAAACCTCCCAAGAGAACTGTCCTAGCAGAGGTCAGAATTAGAAATGAGCCGATTTCTCCCAAGACCATCAGGATTAATCCCATCGTGCCCTATACCCCTGTTTACTTCAGTTACTCCCCGAAATCCAAGAAATGTACACAATACTGTGAATGCACTGTTATCATAGCAGAGGGAGGTGGATGTATATGTGTGTGTGTATATGTGCATTCATATAGATTTGTTTGAATATTATGAAATATTTTTAAAAGAGTACACAACAAATAGGTAACATTAATACTTCTAGGGAGGAGACTTTAGGTGGCTTAGGAAAGAGAACTGTTCACCAATATACTCTTAACTAACTTTTGGATTTTGAACAGTGTGAATACATTGACCTACCAAAAGTCTAAATAAGATGCACAAATAATTTATTGAATAGATATCTCAATTAACTAGGTATGCGAGGGGTAGTGGGCTACATAAGCAGATGGCTGATCAGCATCTCTACTCTTCTGGGGCTGGCAGCCTAGCAGGAAAGATAAATATACAAACTACTACAGAGCAATTGTTGCAGTGATAATTGTAGGTCAAAGAGAGATGGAAAAGTACAGAAGTTGCTATCGCTTATCCTTTGGTGACATGACTCATTTCCTCATGGCTTGGGACACTTACTTTTTATTTATTTATTTATTTATTTATTTGGTGGTGCTGGGGATGAAACACAGGGTCTTGCACACACTAGGCGAGAGCACTACCACTGCACTATACACTCCTGAGCTCCAGCTTGTCAAAAAAATTTTTTTGGTCTTTTTTGAGAGAGGTTTCACTATATGCTTCAGGCTGACTTTGAACTCACTATGTAGCCCAGGCTGACTTTGAATTCACTGTGATCCTCCTGCCTCAACCTACTGCCTGCTGAGATTACAGGTATGTACCACCTTGTCTGGCTCAGTCTGTTGATTTTTATTGGTTATCAGATTCAGGAAATGAGGCTCTGTAGCAGATACCCCCTTCCTCCCATTCCACATCACCTTTACCCTTTTTAATCTGGGAAATCATTTAGAGTTGCTGTAGTTTTGATTTTGCTTTAATTTTGTGTGTGTGTGTGTTTTGAGACAAAGTCTTGCTGTGTGGTCCAGGCTAAGCCTTGAACTCACTGTGTGGCCTAGGCTAGCCCCAAACTCCAGCAATCCTTCTGCCTCAGCCTCCCAAGTGCTGGGATTATAGGAATATGCCACCATGCCTGGTTGTTTTAATTTTTATTTAACAGTTTACTAAAGTATTATTGATGTAATACAACATCTTCCCATTTTAATTTTTTTGTTTTGATCTTTTGAGACAGGGTCTGGCTAGGCAACCTAGGGTGGTTTTGAACTTGCAATTCTCCTGCCTCACCCTCCTGAGTGCTGAGATTATAGGCATGTGCCACCAACACCTGGCAAAAGCCCCCATTTTAATTGTACAATTCAATGAATTTTCAATTGCTATAAAACCACATTAATCTGATTTAGAACACTTCCAAAACCCTCCTAACCATTTGTTTGACTTTTCTTGTATTTTTTTTTTTTAAGAAGAAAAAGAGCCAAGAATTCATTCTGGTGTTTTTAGCTAAGAACTTCCGGTAGGTGACATCTTCTTTGCCACACCTTGTACATGTGGGACTGGTTTGGTGCCTGTTGAGGCTGAACCTGGATCTGCCACTGTGTTCAATGGTGTGTGACCCTCTCCCTTTCCTTTGGAGTTAGTACCTAGGTTGAAGGGAACAATACTCATTTCTTTCCTCCTCCAACTCTCTGCCAACTCAATGTAGATGGCTTGGCTTCCTTTCCTTTTCATACCCTGATTTTGAACAATAGTTCTAAGGCATGGAGAGCAAACCCTAAGATGAGGGTAGAGTCTGCAAAGTTAAAGCCAAAATAAGCACACTCAAGTTTCCTAATTTAGCCTTTATCAGATGCCAAAATGTACGTAGCACTGTACGATGCACAGTGTTAAGCAG